TCGGTGTAGATCCGGCGGCCTTCTTTCTCCTCCGGCGGATCTGTGGCGGCGCGCGCGAGGACTGCCAGATCTGACGCCCACCGCGGCTCCCCTGCTGGTTCCGAGGCGACGGCAAGCTTGATCGGGATACCGCCTGGGTATCTTGCCGCCACCCCCCAGCCAAAACGACGTTGTTTTGGCTGGGGATTCTTTCTTTTTTTTTTTTTCCTTCTTGCATAATGTACCGGTCAAATTCGGATGTACCGGCCGGTACACAAAATTCCGGCCGGTACACCGGATTTTGACCGGAACGGCCGAATTTTGACCGAAACGAAATTTAACATTGTACCGTTTCGGTCAAGTGTCAAAACCGGTACGTACCGGTCGTACCGACCGGTACGGTACGAGATTGACACCTTTGGTTTCGCTGCCTTCAGTAATATTTCTTTGTAATCGGATTGCTTCCTTTCCTTTATATTTGTTTTCCAGATTTCCTTTAATTTAATCAAATGATGTCGACATTTAATTTCATGTTTTAGTTCCATTTCCATTAATTTACATTTCATGCTGCCAGTAGATTTTTCATGCTTCGAGTTTTATTTACTTTAACTTTATTTACTTTTGCTGCAATTAAATTTCCTTTTAAAGCTCTGTTTCAATTCAGTTTGCATATTCAAAGTTCATTAGATTTTCAGTAATTTAGCGATCATTTATTTACCTTGCAGTCTTAACTTTTCTTGATTACATTAGCTTTTAGGAGTCCTTGGAACCATATCCAGGACATTTTGTCGCATAACTCATTTAGTGCAGAAAGTTCATCCCTCGTTTCTGCCAATCGTCTGATCTTTAAGGTGCAATTCACGACGTTCTTCCATCAACTCACAAGTTGAGTTCCACGCTTGGAAAGAAGAGAGGGTCGTCGGAGAAATCTTTCTTGTTTTGAGCAAAGCAAGTGGCACGCCATTTCATCTACCACGTGTCAAGAAGATTTTTTGGGATAACAGATACATTTACCCTGTAAACCCACACCCTTAAACACACACAGCTGGTCTACTTAATAAAATGTTATTTCACAGATTCGCTTATCCTTGCTTATCCAGATTCCATTCAAATTGGGAAAATCGTTGAACTCATCGACAACAATAGTTCCTTTGACACTGGAAAATTTTGATGCCATAACAAGAGTCCCACTTATCCTCACCTCCATGAGAGTAAGATGGAGTCCTTGGGGTTTGATTGTTGAATTCATGAAAACAATCAATCTCATTGTAAAACACTCTGAGTTGAGAAAGGATTCACAAATCTCATTCTTGTTTCAGCCTCTTCCTTCCCCATTGTCATCCAGATGGGCTTGCCACTGGTCAAAAGCATGCGAAAGAGACAAGAAATTCTAGCAATTTTTCTTGGCTGCATCCTTTCATTTCTTCCAAAAAATAGCCATGGTTGGAAAAGGGCAAAAGTGAACAATTTTGGCCTTGTATGATCCTAGGGTAGAGAGGAGAAAAAGTAAAAGGAACAATTGAGATGAAATAGATAGAAATTTTAGGGTTTTTGAGGATTTCTTGTATAAATAGGAAGGGGGATTTGGGGGAGATTTTTGAGGGGTTTTAGCCAACAAAAAAAAAAAAAAAGGGTTAGCCCAACAAAAAAATAAAGGGTTGAGCAAACAAATCTGGCAAAAAAAATCAAAGAAAGGAAGCTGGACGTTTTTGGGTGCTGATTTTGGTTTTTGAGTGCTGAATTTTTGAGTTTTCCTCCTCCATTCTAGGTTTTGGGAGAAGAAAAAGAGAGAGCTGAAGGTTTTTTGGATGCTGATTTTGGTTTTTGGGTGCTGATTTTTTGAGTTTTCCTCCTCCATTCCAGGATTTGGGAGAAGAAAAAAGGAGAGCTGGAGGTTTTGGGATGCTGATTTTGGTTTTTGGTGTTGATTTTTTGAGTTTTCCTCCTCCGTTCTAGGATTTGGGAGAAGAAAAAAAGAGAGCTAGAGGTTTTTGGGTGCTAATTTTTTGAATTTTCCTCCTTCATTTTGGGATTTGGAGAAGAAAAAAAGAGAGAACTCTTTTGTCAAGCTACTATGAAATCAGTATGTTTGGAAACACAAATAAACCAATACAGTATAAATGGGCATAAGTTTAAGCTATTCTGCATTAAAAAACCGAGATGTGACATAACAATTTTTTGAAGAAAGTGTAACTGGAGGTGACAAAACTGGCTATACACTGAAAATTGTCCTTAAAAAAATTAACCTTTTTAAGTATTGACTTCGAAATTTGAATTTTATACTTAATTTATAAAATAATACTTAATTATTAATAAATTTAACTTTGCGATTTATATGCGAATTGTAAGAATTTTTTTTTTCTTAAATCCGTCCATCCAATAGAAGGGTAGTGATAGATTCACAAAAAAAAAAGAAAAAAGAGTAAGGATCAATTACCCTTTTAAATTATTAATCAAAATAAATTACTTATTATATAATATATGATATTATCATATGTTAATTTTTTGTTAAAAAATACTTAAATAACAAATAAATTTTTGATGTGTGATAACATTATATGTTAAATAATAAATAATTTATTTTAATCAATAATGTGAAGCCATAATTTGTCTCCATTTTTTGAGGGGATGATTTATCCCTATCTTTTTTTCCTTTTGTTTTTTTTGAACTCATCCCTATCTTTTTATTTAAAGGGCAGATGAAAGGCACATTTGAGAGAGAAAAAGTTCATTTTGACGGATCAACCCGGCATTTATTCAGGGATTGTCCTCGGTGTTTTGGTGATTACTGTAGACATGAAGCGTAGTGACTTTAGAATTGGAAGTGAAATTTTTCAAGCTCAAGCAGCAACCCAAGCCCACAAGAAACGGGTGCCTAAGAGTGCTTTGTTCCTTAAGAGAGGTTAACAATTTAAAAGTTCTGAGTTTAACAGAATATTTGGTTAAAGAGAATTAGAGTAGAGACCCCCTCCTCTCATTTAAGAAAATAAAGTAAAAGACTTTTCTCCCTCTCAAACTTTTTACTAATTAAATAGAGAAATTTCATCTCTCTCCTCCTCTAAAACCAAACACCTATTCTCCTCAAATTAAACATATGATATATCTTAGAAGGTAGAAACAGACTTAGAGATTTAGGAAAGGAAGACTATTCTTATTACATAACCAATTATATGATGTCCTTAAAGAAAAATAAAATGCTAAAGAGTGCGCCCACAGATTGATTTGGCTGAAGTATGCATGCCACAATCCGTAGAGTTGATGAGAGACACAGTAACTAAAGAAAGATATAATAAGAATCACAGAACTACTGCCAAAAAAAAAAAAAAAGGGAACAAAATTATGCATATTGTCATACATTATCTTCAAGTTTAGTATACAGCAAAACGGGATAAAGACCGACATCACACCTGCAACTAACTGCTCTTGTTTCAATTTATAACATCTGACATCTAATCTTGAATCATCAATTTTGGGGGTAATCAAACAGATTACTCAGTCAACTTGCTTTAGATGAAATTAAATATTCCAATACACCAAAGAGCGTGAAAAGACCAAATGACCACTATTTTCCACAATTTACATGGCAAAGTTGATCATTTAGAAAGAAAAATGATTTGATCTTCATGTAGTTCTACATAGATAATGGAAGAAGCATTCGCCGCTTCTTCTTTCTAGCCAATCTCACTTGCTTTGTAATTTTCATGCATAAAAGCAATAGCATTGTCATGCATACTAAGATAAAAGCAAGTTGCATATGCCTAAAATATAATGAAACCGCTGAGAAAACCAGGAAAGCTAGAATGACAAGTTCCCATATTACGAAGATGACAACATCCACCCTGCATCCACAAAAGAGAATAGCACGACAATTATAAAAACTGATCTTGTCTTAAATATGGGGAAGCACCAATTTGACAACTAAATTGAAAGAACAAATGCACAAGAAACCATCACAGATAAGTTTCTATGGTGAGGTCTATTTTTATAACATCATTAAGAAAGAGACCAATCCATCTTTTACAGTTTTACCATTGATCATGTAAGGTTCAAACAGTTACGGAGCCCCCTTCTCAAAAGAACAAAACAAGAAATAAAGATAGCAGTTTGAGAAAATATTGTGCCCCAAACAACAGGATTTAGAAAATTAAACAGAAAAACTAAAAGTAGCCAGTACAAGGGAAAGACTCTAGAAGGTTAGAAATTTGAAACTATGATTTTGACAGAAGGTAAAATAGCCTAAAGTATGATAACTCCCACCATGTAGCAAAGACATATATCATTGACACCAAAAGTTTAGACAAGCTACTGTCATCAAGTTCGTAGACATGACTCCACATGAAGAAACCAAAAGCCATAGATAACATCAGCTCTTTG